CGGCTCGTTAAGCAAACAAGCCGAACACGAACACACTTTTTGAGCTCGAAATATAAACGAGCCGTGTTCGGCTCGTTTACACCCCTAGTTGGGCAGGTTCAGCCCCAAGCACCCAAGTCATCTAGTTGTGGCAAAAGAATGTATAACATGACTTTAAAAATTATTGAATAAGAAAATTTAGTCCGGCAATTCAGAAAGCAGATGTATTTTTGCGGGAAAGCTTTCGTGATGAAATAATGGACATCTAATATTGTAGTGCCATATCAAGTGTATAGCTTGCATGAGAGGAAACACTTGGAGACTTCTGGGGTAACAATGTGAAAAAGAAATCAAAGCACAATTAAGTTCCAGTAAGAAAGACTGTACTTACAAAGTGCTTGCAAACATCACATTTTGGGTGATGGTGTTCCTTGTAACAAAATTTGTGATATGGGAGGTTACCAGACATTGAGAACTGTACCAAACAGCCTGTGAGTTTTGGACTTGGCTTGGCAGTTCTGAATGATGCAAGTCCAATTAAGGAATATCCTTACCTCATACTCAGATATAGGCTGATTGCAAGCACGGCAACAGAAACACTCAGGATGCCAAACAGCGCCCATACAGCTAAGAAAGCGCCCATGACCAATTCCAGCATTGCAACCAGCACAAATTCTGCAGTGACAGAATGCATCAAAAATATTATTCAGAAGATAAAAGCCATTAAATTCAACAGAAAACCCCAAAAATTATTGTTTATGGATTAGTTACGATCATAAAATCAAGAACAACAAGATTCATGTTTCTATGATCTTTACGCAAATGTGACAAAATAAAGCAACGGCGGTTCAGAATCTACATCATCAAATCACCTCAAGATCTCTGGCGACTCTTCATTCAAGCTTAAGGGAATCAACTCTAATATCAAAACCTCCACTAGAACTTGATGGGAGTCTCATCCCAAGGAATAATCCTCAAAGCAGACTCATCTTTCTTTGATTTTGTATTTGTAAAAAGCAAGGTGTCCTTATGAATGACATAGACTATAGAATTCTACCAACTTCAAATTATTTTTATCATGCAACAAGTTGACATCATCGATGGCAATCCTCACACTTATGCTATTTGACAACTTCATCGACAGCTTACATTCCAACTCAAGCTAATGGACTACTTCATCACCAACCTACGTAATATGAGAAACATGGAGAGATGTCACACTCTCACCTCAAAGAAGGAATCACTTAACATAAAAAAAACTACAAAACTAGAAACAGACGCCTTGAACCTCTCATCAAGCCAAAAAACAATGGCTCAAAAAGGAACATATGCTCCTCTAGAAGATCGAGCTTCATAGATGGAAGAATCAACTTTGAGAATCTCAACAAATGACATCATCAAATTAATAATGCTCCTGACAACTATTTTACTCTCAACCCTAAGCAAGCTAAAAAACAAAAGTTCCACTTGTAAAATTACCACTAATTTAAATAGTTATTTGACTAAGAACCCTTTTGGTGGCTTTATGTGAGTTATTTTGACTTGTCTACTTTGCCATATCATTCCCTGTATACACAGCAGAAAATTAAAAAGCAATACGTCAAAAAAATGCTAAGATTATGATTTTTATTGTTAAACAAATAAGACTTGAGTTTTTACACAATGCAAAAGCTCATAGATCAAGCAAATTTTCCTTGAAGAACCTTCTTTATCTCTATAGGTGAAGTTTGTAAGTTCTTTCACATTATATATCATGCAATCATTTGAAGAGATCGATTATTTTCATTTTTCGTTCACCACAAAAAGTTCAAACACTAGAAGGTGTTTTCTTTTGAAAGGAGTTGGACGTGAAAGAAAGGTGTTCTGCAGCATTTGTTTACTTAGAAGAGAAATTGCGATGATTTATCCATTTGCTTGATGATGATAGTGGGTAGCCATTTGGTGAAGATTAAAGGATAGTGAAGGCCTTGAATTTTTTGTTTAGCATATAAACACTGGTTTTAGAGTTTTTGGTAGAATTCTAATGGGGCTAGAATCATATAGTGATTGAAATGTCTTAGACTAGTCTAGATTAGTCTAGTTTGGACTGATTTTGAATATCTCTTTAAGTGGTTTAAAGTTAAGTAAATGATTAGAGATTTTTATTAGTTGTATTAAAATGTGGAGTTATGATATGGAGTAGATGATTAAATTTGGAGAAGTTTATACGGACGTTAATGGGTAGATAACAAGACTAGGTTCTAGTCTCGTCAAACTTAGCAAAGAGTTCTAAGTGGATCTTTAGAGTGATTTTGATGGTTATATTGAGTAAATGATGGCATATTATGATTATAAAGGCGTTGAGAGGACATTAATATGGTTGGGGGTAGAAGTTAAGATAATAACAAACGAAAATAGAAAATAAATTAAAAATAACCACCTAATCTTACGAAAGTAGAGGCACACACTTATACCACCAAGCAAAGAGAGAAAAGATTCACTCCAATTTTCATTCAAGAACTTAAAAAAAATCATTACATATCAGCCATATTTATAAGGACTATAATGATAAAAAGTCAAAAATAAGAAGGAAATTTGAATGGAATGATAACCACTAATGGAGAAAGGAGCAAACCACCTTCCTAATTTATTATCTTTTTTTTACCAGCACATACAAGCCTCCAAATTTGATTCAAACTTTCTAGAAACTAAAATTAAAATTTAATTATTAAAATAAAAATTCACATATTTCTTGTTGATTGGGCTCTTGTGATGGGCCTTGAATGGCCATTCGCTTGGGCTCTTGTCATTATTCATTTGACTTTATTTTCTTGATCCATATGATGTGCTACATCGACTCCCCCAGGCTCAATTGAACTCTGCCCTGTAGAGTTGAAATCCAAAAAGTGATTGTACTAATTGATGCGTTAGTGTCTCCAAGTCAGCTTGCATCAGCCATGTACTATCAGAAAGTGATTTTTTCTTCCAAAGAATAGAAAATGATGCTCTACATCTGGTTCAATGGATGCTTCCTCTGTGATGACATAAACCACTTCAAGAAATGATGGATTATCCAAGTAAGGAACTATCTTTCCCGCATAAGTGTCAAACTGAACAATTGAAGTTTGCTAACTCCTTCATATGATAGAATATGTTCAATATTAATAATAGGGGGAATTAACATATCAACAGACAAATAAAGATACTAGGCATTATAAACAATTTTCCTAAGAAGTTTAAATGGGCCACAAGTTGCATATAATTTTTTAAACATGGTTGTGTGAGCTCTCAAGGCGAATAAGAATCAAAACAGTCATCTTTAAATTCTTTTGTTGAACTATTAGAATTTGTCTTATAAGCATATTTATCATTAGTTAAAGTGATTTGTTCTTATAGTATCATAGAGGCTTCTAAAATCTTTGGCAAATGGAAATGTTGAATCAGAGAACTCATAAGATGGAAGGCTGGCTAAATCGATGGGCCGTCTTGGGTTTTGACCATATATTATTTCAAAATGTGAAGTCTTGGTTGGTCTAGAAATTATACTTTTAGATGTAAATTCAGAGGTTGGTATATGCAAGTCCCAATTTCGTAAACTTTTTCCTACATGACTTCGTAGATTTTCTAAAGTTCGATTAACTACCTCAACTTGACCATCAATTTGAGGACGAAAGGCATATGAAAATTTTAACTTTATGCCTAATAACTTCCACTGTCTTCCAAAAGTATGAAAAAGATCGAACATCAATATCATACACAATGGTTGAAGGAAGGCAAAGTAAACATATAATTTCCTTAAAAAAGTATCTTGAAATGTGAGAGACATCATTAGTTTTTGAACATACAAGAAAGGAGCTATCTTTGAGAAGCGACAACCTACAACAAAATTGTTTTAATGTCCTCCAATTGTACGGGGCAATCCTATAACAAAATCCATGGAGAGACCTTCCCATGGTTTATAGGGAATAGGCCATGCACCAAATTGACTAGACATTTGTTTGGTAGATTTGGCTTGTTTACAGGCCTGACATCGTGCCACTAAACTTTGAACATCTCGCTTAAGTGAAGGCCAATAAAATCAACTTTCTATTAAACAAATGGACTTATCCCTTCCAAAATGCCCAGCTATTCCTCTAGAATATAGATTAGAGATTAAAAATTCAAGTGAAGTTCTAGGAATACAAAGTTTTCTCTTATATATATCCATTGATAAAAGAAATGATTCTCTGTAGAACTATGAGTTTATCTAAGTTTTCCATAATGATAAAGACATGACACACAAGGTACTCATATTTGATCCGTTCAAATCCTAAAATTTTTAGTTCCAAATTACCCTAAATAAGGCATTAACGAGTTTATTATCAATCCTAAGTATATGCCTGAGAACAAAAGGATAATATTGAAGAAATTCAACCCATTTAGCATGTTTATGGCTTAACATTCGGTTGGTATTGATGAATTTTAGGGCATTAGGGCATGATGATCTGAATTAAAGATGAACTCCCTATGTAGAAGATAATAATGCCAGTGTCTTATAGATTGGATGAGTGCATAAAATTATCTATCATAGGTGGAGCATTGTAATTTTGCCTCATTTAATTTCTTACTAAAGAAAGCTAGTTGATGATTGTCTTAACTTAAGATTCCACCCATTCCAATTCCAGAAGCATCACAAGTTACTTCAAAAGACTTAGAAATGTTAATCAGCCTAAGGATTGGAGAAGATGTGATTAAAATCTTAACCTGATCTAAAGTCATTTGTGCTGCACAAGTTCAAAGAAATTTCTCTAATTTTAAAATATCATTTATTGGAGCAACGACACTACTAAAATCCTTAATGTATCTTTTATAAAAAGTAGATAGACCATGAAAACTTTATACTTCAGTGAAACTCTAAAGTTGGGGTCAATCTAAGATTACTTGAACTTTGGAAGGGTCTGGTTTGATTCCAAAAGTAGAAGCAATGAATCCTATAAAAATTACATCAGCTTGTAAGAAGAAAAGCTTCTTTAAATTGATGTATAGTTGTTTTTTTTCTAAGAATTTCCAAAACTTGTTTAAGGTGCTCTAAATGATCTGTCTCACTTGGGATAAAAATCAAGATATCAAAATATAGAACAAAAAAATTTTCTATGAATAATTTTAATACAGTATTCATTAATCTCAAGAAGATTCATTTGAAAGCCCAAATGGCATAGCCAACTATTCATAGAGCCCATTCTAGGTCTTAAATGTAGTTTTCCAATCATCGCCTGATTGAATCCTAATTTGATGATAGCCACTCCTTAAATCGAGTATAGAGAAGAAATTTGCCCCTAAGATTAAGTCTTATATGTCATCTAGATGAGGAATAGAAAATCTATACATAATTGTGATTTTATTAATGGTTTAACTATCAAAACACACACACACACTTCATACGTCATCTTTCTTAGGGGTTAACAATGCAGGGACTGCACAAGGAGTAAGACACTCTTGGACAAACCCTTTCTCAAGTAAACCCTCAACTGTCTCTTTAGCTCAACATGCTCAGTGGGATTCATCCTATAATGATGTAGGTTGGGAAGTTGTGAGCCAGGAGCTAAATCAATAGCATGTTGAATGGACCTAAGTGAGGGTAACCTATCAGACAGTTCATCAAGGCAACATCCCTAAACACAAAAAGGAGTGTTGAGACTACAACAGGTATGTGTATC